AAAAAAAAAAAAAAAAAAAAAAATTGTTAATTAATTTACTTCTAAAAAAGCTGCATGTCGAAAATGGCACGACTATGATACAAAGCAAGGACACTTGATAAATAACTTAGTTTTCTATTTTCATAATTATTATATCTATATAACGTACATATATAAAACAAATTGAGTAAAGAAACTAGTGTTGATTCAGGTCCGTACAATATTTAGATTTTCCGGAGAAAAAAAAGATTTTTTTTTTTTTTCATTTTTATTAATTGTTATTAATAGAGCCAGAATTTTTACTTTAATTTCAAAATAATAATTAATTATTAATAGTTTTAAATTTAAAGTATTACTGCGAAAATATTGGTCGTATAAAAAAATGTTTAAAACAAAAGTTGTACACGGAAAAACAAGATGACTGAGTGAAAAAAAAAATTTAGATAGTAACTAGTATAATTCAGATTACAATGAGTATAATCCAGATATCACGCATTATAATCTGGATTTTTTTAGCTATAATCTGAAATTTTTTTTCACCAAAGATCACTGACTATAATCTGGGTGGATATTCATTGTCATCTTGTTCTTTCCGTGTAGAAAATTAAATTTTCTAAAAAAAAAGTCGCTTATTTTTTCGTACACTTATAGGATTTATTTGTACCAAAAAATATTTTTTGATAGTTGAATCATTTGTTTGTATTTAATAAATTTGATATTAATTTATTAAATATTAATAAATCTTTTTCAATACTAAGAAATATTTATTAAGGACGAAATTAATAAGTGGTCTCTAATAAATGATTTGTTAAATATTAACAAATATTTTTAGCTATAAACAAATTCTTATATCGATCTAGGGACCAATCAGGAAGCCCTAATTTAAAAATTAAAATTTTTAATACTCGAATTTCAAAATTAAAATTTTAATAGCAAAAATTTTAATTCATTATAATGGTTATGAGTCTTAATTTTGAAATTACTGGGAAAATATTAAGCGTATAAAAAAATAACAAGACATTTTTTTTAGAAAATAAAATTTTTTACAACTTTTTTAAAAAAAATTTTTTTGGACCAATATTTTAGCTGTATTATTAAATACTTATGCAAAAATTTTGGCTCTAATTAATAATCAATAATATTATTATTGTTGGTTTTCAATTAATCTGCTCTTTATTTTAATCAATAAATTTTTTTTCACTCATGTAAATTTTTTTTGTGTCTATTAAGTTTAATTTAACATAAAAATTTTTTTTTTAATTATAATTAAATATTAAGATTTAATTTTAAAAAAGTAAAAATGTACTGTGTGGAGAAAAATTAAAAAAATAGTAAATAAAATGAAAAATAAAGAGAAAAACTCTTAATTGAAAAATTAATTAAGGAAAATTTTTCTAAATATTTTCATTAAATTATATTCTAGAAAGTTAAAGTAGAAAAAAATAATTTGCAGCCAAATAATTAAATAACACTTGAATTTTAGCGATGATTAAGATGATCTTATAATGAAACAGAAATACTAAATAATTATATATATATACATGGAATTATAATTTCTTTCGTTTATCAAACAAAGATTAACAATGAATAATTTTTTTTTTTTTTTTTTTTTTTAAACATTACGAAAGACAAAGAAAAAAATCGTCGGGCCTGTTATCGTAGTTTTTCTTTACACCGCGTGTATATATAAATATATAAGCTCTTATATATTTATATATAAACGTAGAATTTTACTCAAGTATATGTGTATGTATATGTATATTTATACATATGTATATTTAGTATAAATATGTACACGCATGCTAGTTATAACAATTTTCCGACTTAATATATTTAAAATTTCCTGCATAGCATACATACGCATTCACACTTTTAGGAAAGTAAAAAAAAATTCAGGATTTAATCTTTCATTCTATCCCGCAAATTTATCGAGCACTTTACCTGCTTCATTATTTTCCTTTTAAAACAATGTCTTTAATTAGCATTAATAATAATAATAATAATAAGAATAAAAATAATAATAATAATAATCTTTTCATTTTTATATAATTAATTAATTAATTAATATTGTGTATCACTAAATTAAACACGCAGATTCTTCTTAGCGCATTTAAAAGTTCATTTTTTTTTTCGTAAAAAAACCAGGAAAAAATTAATTAATTAAAAAAAAAAATCCACTTGTACAATTGTTGATTTTAATTCACAATGACTTATCACATGTTTAACTTCTTCAAATTGTATCCTAATTACTTTAAAAATTTTCTTATTTCATTCATATATATTTTTTTTTCAAGTTACTTTTATACTTCAATTAAACACTACTTCATATTTTTTTTTCTCAGCCAACCCACTGTTCTCGATACAAGGAACGATATTACAATTAAATATTTACGAACACAACTTTTTATTTGTTGTCAATTTTATATCATGTTAAAATAATGACATAATGTGAGTGTATAATAATGTAAAATTGTGTAATGTGTTTTAGTGTCCACATAATAATGGATTGCTTTTTTTTTCTTTCTTTACTTAGCTGCTGCAGAGGACAGACAATTTTTAAAAATCTTTCACAACCTCTCTCACTCTCATTCTCTCATTTTTTTTTTATTGTTTCAGTCACTCTAATTTTATTAATTAATAAATAAAGTCTGTCTGTATTATTTATTTATTTTTAATTAATGAAAATATCCATTAGTTGAGCGAGTGATCTTCAGCATTTATAGTCAACTATTTAAAACATTTCTTCTTCATATTAAATGATTTATTATTTAGCCTTGTCGATGGCGGTGGGTGTAGAAGTGATTGGTGAACCAGTGACATCATTATTGATTGTTATTTATTTTATTATTATTTTTTTTAAACTAAATCTTTATTAATTTATCTTCATCCCTTGTCGTCATATATTTACACAAGAATTAATCGTGATATCAATTTTACTTTTCGACGTAAATTCCACAATTAAAACTTTTTTTTTTTTTTTTTTTTTGTCAATTTTATTTTATTATTAAAGATGAAATATTTATGTGAAATTGAGTGTTTTTAAGATTTGGCATATATCAGTTTAATAAATTGATGCATTATCATTAACTTCACTTTAATTCTGTATTCACTAATTATTTTGTTTAAAAAGTCCATGCTTATTTTAATTAGTTTAATTTTTTTATAAGTCCCAGTTGGGTTCGTTTATTATCAGCATAAACAAGTTCATACACTACGAACTGCTGGATGCATTCATTCCACTAAACATTCCAGTCGTAAATGACGTTTGTTGTTGCTGTTGAGCTTGTTGAATGTGTTGCTGTTGCTGAGCTTGCTGTTGCTGCTGGCTATTTGCCTGACGACCATGCTTTGGCACTGGGGGCTGTAAATAATCATGTCGTGCTAACATCATCACATCAATTCGCTCTTCTTTCCTATACGCTAGACAGCTCCTTATGAAACTCTGTAAAAATAATTATTTTATTAAGAGAATAAGAAAAATTTTGTTTCCAGGATAGTTATATAACATCGGTTTTTTTAGTAAAATGTATCTCTAGATACATAATTAAGAAATGACCCTGTATCTTGTGAACTATTGACATTTTTAAAGATATAAGCTCATCCCGACGTTGCACTCATCGAGACCTTTCATTTGAGTACCCACATCAATTTTTTATATATTTCATATATTTATATATATTATATATACGTATATATGAAAAATATATCAAAAATACATATGGGTACTCAAATGAAAGCTCTTGATGAGTGTAACATCGGGATGGGCTTATATCTTTAAAAAAATCAATAGTCAAGAAAGTACAGTGCAATTTAACATAATTAAGAAATTACCTTGTATCTTGTGAACTATTGACATTTTTTAAGATATAAGCTCATCCTGATGTTAGACTCATTGAGAACTTTCATTTGAGTATCCACATCAATTTTTTATATATTTCATATATTTATATATATTATATATATGTATGTATGAAAAAAATATCAAAAATACATATGGGTACTCAAATGAAAGCTCTTGATGAGTGTAACATCGGGCTGAGCTTATATCTTCAAAAACTACGTCAATAGTTAAGAAAGTACAGTGCAATTTAATATAATTAAGAAATTACCTTGTATCTTAAGAACTAATGACATTTTTAAAGATATAAGGCCACCTTGACATTACACTCATTGAGACCTTTCATTTGAGTACCCCCATCATTTTTTCATATATTTATATATATTATCTAATGTATATATGAAAAATATATCAAAAATGCATGTGGATACTCAAATGAAAGCTCTTGATGAGTGTAACATCGGGATGGGCTTATATCTTTAAAAAAATCAATAGTCAAGAAAGTACAGTGCAATAAAACATAATTAAGAAATTACCTTGTATCTTGTGAACTATTGACATTTTTAAAGATATAAGCTCATCCCGAGATTACACTCATTAAGAGCTTTCATTTGAGTACCCATATCAATTTTTCATACATTTATATATTATATATATGTATATATGATAAATATATCAAAAATGCATGTGTGTACTTAAATGAAAGCTCTTGATGAGTGTAATATCGGAATGAGCTTATATCTTAAAAAACGTTAATAGTTCAGAAAGTACAGTGCAATTTAACAAAAATCATTATTTACTAAAGCAAAAATTTATTTATTTATAGTTTATAAGTTCATAAGTCAATAAATAATAAACAATTTTTCTTTTACCTTTGCTTCGTTGCTAACAGTCGGTTTATTGGCAAATTGTACCTCTGTTGCTTTTAATATTGTATTTTCTTCTAAAATAGTTGCTTGTGATTGATTATGTCCGAATGGCTGAAAAATAAATATTAAAATTAATTTCCAAACAATTAAACATTTAAAAATAAATAATTTCTATTTTAAACTTACCTTTTTACCATAGAGACACTGGTAAAATATAACACCCACACTCCACACATCAACTTTAGATGATATTTTAGGTGGATTTTTGCCAACAACAAAACATTCAGGAGGTAAATACCTAAAATAAAATTACAACTCCTGTTAACTTTGTTCTACTTATATACTCTTAAAAATATTTAAGAAAAATTCTTAAAAAAAATACCAATAAGTTCCAGCCCCTTGTGACGTAAGATCCATTCCATGATCTGGATTATAATTTTCTTCATCCATAACTTTACTTAAACCAAAGTCCGTAATTTTTATTTCACCACAGACATTGCCTTCCGTCAACAAAATATTGCCTGATAAATTTATAAAATAAAATTATTAATTATATAGATAAAATTTCAAATTAATGGATAAAATAATTTTGTGAATTACTAACCAGGTTTTAAATCGTAGTGTATGACTGGGGGCTTTATTTCATTAAGGTACTTTAACGCAGACACAACTTGCATCACAATTGACCTCGCTTCTCTTTCTGGTATCATTTTATGCTGCAAAAAATTTTAATATTATTACAAATTAATTCTTTTTTAAAATACTGATTTTTTTGATCATTTATATTTTATAGTAAGTACTGTAATACTTTAATACTAATTAAAAAATAAAAGTTAATAAAAATGACTAACCTGTTTTAAGTAGAAGTCTAGGTCATGACCATCACAGTATTCCAAAACAGTACAAAACGAATTGGCGTCAATTTCAAAGACGTCATAGAGCTTCACAACTCGTGGATGATCCAGGGCTTTATGTATATTATATTCTCTTAATGCGTGTCTATAAATTAATCACAATAATAATTTTAATAAAATGTAAAATAAAATACTTTTAAAAATAATAAATCAAAAACTCACTTAATATAATTAGCTTTTTTGTCTTCTTTCCAGTCTTTATTCAATTGGTGTACTTTACAGGCCACATATCGCTGCTCTTTCAGATCAAACGCCTAAAATAGATTTAAAAAAATTTAATAATTAATATTCAACAATATAAAAAATTAATTAACGACGTTCATAAGTAAGACTTAATAATAAAATAAAAATTTTCTCCAAAAACATGAAAGCCAATATTTTTTCCAACTTCTAAAGGTAAAAAATGTTTCGCAAGACTTCAATAAATTTAATAAAAAGTACTAAATTGACTCTATGCTGCATGGACGACTTTAAGAACAAAAAAAATAATTTTTACCTTGTGTACTTCACTAAAACCACCTTTTCCTAATAACATTAATAAAAGGTAACGTTCATTGAGTACTGGATGAGAATTAAATCTGGATTGGTCCTCGTTGTGAATACGTTTCAGTTCTCTGATGTGAAGATTTCGCTCTCTTTCAAGTTTTTCCATTTCTAGTTGAAGATCAGCATCTTCTTTTTTCAACGCACTCTGTCTCAACTTGAATAAAAAATAAAATAATCTATATTATTAATATCAACACAAGGTTTCAATTTATTTTCACCGATAGCCAATTTCTTATGATATGTATTTAGGCTGCATTCGAAAATCTCTAGATACATAATTAAGAAATTACCTTTTATCTTGTAAAATATTGATATTTTTATAAATATAAGCTCATCCCGATGTTACACTCATCAAGACCTTTCATTTGAATACCCACATCAATTTTTCATATATTTATATATATATATATATATGTATATCTGAAAAATATATCAAAAATGCATGTGGGTACTCAAATGAAAGCTCTTGATGAGTGCAACATCGGGATGAGCTTATATCCTCAAAAACATCAATAGTTAAAAAAGTACAGTGCAATTTAGCATAATTAAGAAACGACTTTGTATCTTGTAAACTATTGACATTTTTAAAGATATAAGCTCATCCCGACATTACACTCATCGAGACCTTTCATTTGAGTACCCACATCAATTTTTCATATATTTATATATATTATATTTATGTATACATGAAAAATATATCAAAAATGCATGTGGGTACTGAAATGAAAGCTCTTGATGAGTGTAACATCGGGATGAGCTTGTATCTTAAAAATCGTCAATATTTAAGAAAGTACAGAGCAAGTTAACCAAAGTAATTATTTAATAAAGCAAAATTTTAATAAAATAATAATTACTTTGAGTATTTCGTCCGCTTCATAATACTCTTGCCAGGTATAAGATCCAGGTACCGCGTCGGGTTTTAAAAAAGTAGCTTCGGTGCCGTTGTGTAATGAAGGCTGTGGTTGGCTTCGTTTTCTACCAGTCTCACTATTTGACGGCCTCTTTTTTAATAACAACTTTTTCTGTCTATCAATTTCTTCACGTTCAGTCGTTATTTCTTCTTGTCGTCGTGCGAGCTCTTGAAACGCGTAGCCGTCCGTCCAGTTTTCTTGAAAGGTAGCACCTACCCTTTGCGTCACAAACTGTCCAAGCCTCAGTCTATTTTGCATACACTTTTGTCTAGCTTCTTTTTTTTCTATGTTTGATTTTTCTTTTAATAACTTTTTTACAACATCTATACACTTATTTATATGTGATTTGTGCTGCTCAAGTATTTTTTGTTGAGTTGCCATTTGATGCCTAAGTTCTTCTGTCGTCTGAAATTAATTAAAATCATTTTTAATAATCAATACAATTAATAAAAAAAAATTATAAATAAATTCGCTAATAATTACTCTATTTAGTTCATCAATTTTATTGTTACGTAGCTCCAAGTCAGACGATGCTTGCGATTCAAACTCTTGTATCCTCTGGCAAGTGAGCTCCGTCTGTTAATTAAATATAAATAATTAATTAATTATAAATTAATTATTATCATTAACTGTAGGTTGGATGCATTTGTTATTATTTATCAAGATTACCTTCAAGGCACTGCAATAATAATAATAATAATAATAATAATAATAATAATAATAATAATTATTATTATTATTATAAGAATTATTTTAATAATTTATAACAAAAATATAATAAAAAATCACGAAATAAAATTTTAAATAAATAAATAAATAAATAAACATATTAATTTGTGATTTAATAAAACAGGTAAGAAAGCGAACACAAATGTAAAATGTACACACGAAAAAATTATTTAAGCGTATTAAAAATTGATAAATAAAATTTTCAAATTAAGATAAGATAATTGTAGAAAAAAAAATAAAAAAAAGTAACAGTGCCATGACAAGATAGCCCTGCATTTGTAACAACAAATGAATACAGCGCTACAGTCTGGCTTAGGTTTGATGACTCAGTTTTAAAGAATTGGACAAGAAATAAACTTAAAATAATTAAATAACTCTTTATAGAGAAAATAAAATTATTATTTAGTTAATTTCTTATCAGATACTTTAAAGAGAGTCAGATTTATCTTCTGAGTGCTTACATTTGGCGTGTTTGTCTTCGCTTGCCTGACCTGGCTTGTCCTAGGTAGGTTCGTGGGCCTTACCTGTACCTGCTTGCTGACCATTGAACCAGCAGGTTGCGTCGACGAAGGTGGAGGTGGTGGTTGTGGTTGGGAAAGAGTTCGGGGAGGTTGCATCAGTGACGAAAATTCCGCTACCGATGAATTAGGTGTCGTTACTTGGGGCGATACCAGAGGTTGAGCTGATGGTGGATACTGGAATAAAAAATAATTGTTATTTTTAAGTCATTAATATTTTAATATATTTACAAGCAATAATAATAATAATATTTTCAGATTTTTAGTATTGGCTTTCCAGTCTAATAAAAAAAATTTTTCAACAATATATTAATGTTTATATTGATCAAAAATGATCGGTTTTTTTAAGTGAAATTTAGTGTCATTGCAAAGGTCTTGACTTGAATTTGTGAATTATCAAGGTTTCATATCATTTTCGCCAATAGTCAATTTATTATGATAATAAGTATTTAGGCTGCATTAGATAATGCTCTTTCTCCAGATACATAATTAAGAAATGACCCTGTATCTTGTGAAATATTGACATTTTTAAAGATATAAGCTCACCCCGATGTTACACTCATCAAGAGCCTTCATTTGAGTACCCACATGCATTTTTGATATTTTTCATATATACGTATATATAATATATATAAATATATGAAATATATAAAAAATTGATGTGGGTACTCAAATGAAAGGTCTCGATGAGTGCAACGTCGGGATGAGCTTATATCTTAAAAAATGTCAATAGTAAAGAAAGTACAGTGCAATTTAACAAATATCTTGTGAACTATTGAAATTTTTAAAGATATAAGCTCATACTGATGTTACACTCATCAAGATCTTTTATTTGATTATCCACATCAATTTTTCATATATTTATATATATTATATAAATGTACATATGATAAATATATCAAAAACGCATGTGGGTACTCAAATGAAAGCTCTTGATGCGTGTAACATCAAGGTGAGCTTATATTTTTAAAAAAACATCAATAGTTAAGAAAGTACAGTGCAATTTAACAAAAGTCAATACTTATTAAAGCAAAATTTTATTTATATACAGTTCACAAGTCACAGCAGTCACGTAGTGACTGCAAAGTTGCTAGTGTAATATTAAATCAAGTGTTTAAATTGATTAGAATTATTCTTAACAACTTAATCCTATTACAACTGAAAATTTAAAACTAAATTATTCTATTAAATTTACTACATTTTACAATCTCAAAATCTTAACTGTAGCCTAAATGTCTAACAAAATAATTTTTATTTTTACTAAATTTTTACCTAATTTTTAAATAATTTTAAAGTTAGCGGTTACATGACCGCCACAATTCATATAAAATTTCGACTCTTGATTGTATATAATTGTATAAAAATGTAAAATAACTGTCTGATGCTGCCTGGAGGTAACTACAGGCTAAACATCACAAATAAATAAATTAAAAGATTGTTTTTATACTAAAGAGCCAATCTAAAAGTATTAAAACTACTAAATACTTTTTTCCTTTGTGTTCTCATAGATGTTAAGATTATTTGTATAACTACTGTGAGGCCCTTAGGGAGGGAGCTTTGAGTCTAAATTGTTAAAAATAAAATAAAACAAGTCTTTAGTAAAAAAAATCCAATAAAAATATTACCATAGGATACCCTTGTTGAGGCGATGGACTTTTAGCACCCCCATGCCTTATAGGGCTATTTCCTAAATGATGCTTTGGAAAATAGTCATTTATTTTTTTATTTTCCAAGGAAGAAAGTGATCTTCCGCTTTTACCACCAGTTGGGCCACCAGGTCCACTGCCACTTCCATCATCCGCTTTACGTTTTCTTTTTCTTTCGGACGTGGTCCTAGGCAACTTTTCAGGAGTATTTGGATCCACATCTTTATCACTGTGTGATGAGCCTTAAAAAAAATCAAGCAATAATATTACCAACATTGACAATCAAAAAAAAAAAAAAAGAACATTATCATCACATCATCAGTGACATATGTACAGCGTACTTAATGAATAACCTAGCTTATCAAAGTACTCACCAGTACTCATATTTGAGTCTTGACTATGAACTGACTGACCAGAGTTTACGGTTGATTGAGGTGCCATCTGAATTTGTGATCCAGCAGACATCTGAAACAATTAAATAAAAATGACTTTTAATTGGTGCTTTGATTAGATTTCACAGACTTGTAACAAGTCATTTTATTTATTTTATTTTAACAAATAAAAATAAATATCTAAATAATATAAATATTTTATATTTAAACATTAAATTAAATTAATGTATGTGTAATAAAAAGTAGATCTATAAAATACAAAGAGGTTACACGACAAGTTAAGTAGCCTACCTAAAAAATCTCCACTTGATAAAATAATAAAATAAATATATAAATAAAAATGTCTTGAGATTTTATAAAAAATACATAACTGTGGTTGTCGTCATCACCCAGGTGCCGGCGTCATTGCTGTTATCACTGTCGACCGGCTTGTTAGTTTTACCAGTAAGTATTTTAAAGCACTAGGGTGATGACAATCCGAGATAGTAATAAATAATAAATTTTCTAAGTAAAAATAAATAAAAAATAATGGAAATAATTTTTTAAGCAATCGAGCGTACGCGATGAATAAGACATAATATGTGTAGACTACTATACTACTCTCGAGGCGACACACACGGGCCGTTGCAAAAAGGAAGCAGTAAGCCCAGGGCCCCGTGTGTGTGTTAACCGAAAGGCCTGAGAGAAAGATGGAGGTAAATTTAGACGAAGATGGAATTTAGATAGGTACAGAACTGGTACAGTAATACTACTCGTACAGTGTTACTAGTTGAAGTGAGATGATGCTAACAATCCACCATTTGTGTTGCTGAATTTAAGGATAAGTTAGGAATTTATTGCAATAATTATTTTTTTAACAAATAAATTGTAAAAAAATTTGATATTTGATATTTAAAAATTTAATGCAATTTTTTAAAAATAATTTTTTGGAGCAAATTTGTTGAAAAAAATTATGCAAAAAGAAATTTACAAAAAAAAATTGAGATTAAGGAATTTTTTAAAATAAATTTTTGGAGCAAATTTGTTAAATAATTTTTTAGTGATCGCTAACTTTAGTGTCATTACTAAAAATAAATATTTACAAGTAGTTTCTATGTTAGCGCACCTTCCACGACGATCTATGGTGGAGCCCCATAGTCGTGTTTGCTGTTAGCCGTCAGTGTGTCAACCATTGAGCCACTAGATTCGTGCACTGCAGAGGAGATACTTTCAAATCAAACCTTACATTATGTTACACGGGATCACTACTGGGCATTCGCACAGCGAGCAGAGGTGCTACAGAAGTTTAGTTGAGATGCCACGAGGGGGGAACCAAGTAGAGGAGAGACGAGAGACTAAAGAGACTAAAGTATAAGACCTGAGAGAATACCAGTGCGTTGCTGCACTTTCTGTTAAAAGAATCACGACAAAATGGAGGAAGAAAATGGAGAAAGGAGGTTTAAATTTCCGCGGATTATTTTCATTTAAAGGGACTCTGTAGTTTTTTCCCCGGCACTGTCACTGTCACTACCGCGAGACACATCACTGATTATTCTCCGGGATACTTTAGGAAAACCACTTTGTTATATGCTCGGTATTTTTTTTTATATTGTTTATTTTTTTAAAAATATATTTTTATGGTGGGTTTTAGGTTCGCAATGCGTGGGTGTATGTACAGTAAGGAATGTTGAATTTTTCCATTGATCGGGTTGAAAACGTGCAAGACCCGGTAAAATCAATGTGCCCAAGTGTAGTGCGGTGCTTTTACGTATATATACGGTCTTTCTTCCTCTACGCGTATAGCAGTTGATTTTATGGTACTAAAATTATCCGACGTTCAAAACTATGATTTTTATTTATTAAATTATAAATAAAAAATATTTTTAAAAAATTTTGCAATTTAAAACATTATTTTTTAATAAAATAATTTTTCAATTTTTATTATTAAAATTTGCCGACTTTAAGCAATTTTTTATTTTCTATTAATTAAATTAAAACTAAAAAAATATTTTTTAAAAACTTTTTACATGTTAAATTTTTTTAAAACAATTTTTTAATAAAATAAATTATTTTAACTTTTAGATTTCTTCTAATTTAATTTTTATTAATAACATTAGAACTAAAAAAAAATTTTTTTTTTAATTTTCTACATGTTAAATTTTTTTAAAATTATTTTTTAATAAAATAAATTAATTTAATTTTCAGATTTCGTCTAATTTAATTTTTATTAATAAAATTAGTCGACGTTAAACAATTTTAAAATTTTTATTAATTAAAGTAAAACTAAAAAAATATCTTTAAAAAATTTTTTGCATGTTAAATTTTTTAAAACAATTTTTTTATAAAATAAAACTATCCGACTTCTTTAAATTAAATTAGAAGTAAAAAATATATTTAAAAAAAATTTTTTTAAATAATTTTTCAATAAAATAAATTATTAAAATTTTTATAAATACATCACAATAAATAAAAACTAACTCCGTTAAATTTTCCTTCTATAAAATTATTAAAAAAATGAACTGGGCGCTTTTAAGAATTTATTCATCCCTGATAAGTAATGCGTCCTTCAATATATCACCCAAGATAAATAAATAAAAACTATAAAAACAGCACAGAGCAATGTAATATATGTAATAACAAGAAAATAGTTCAAAAGTAAAGTTGACTCATTGATTGTTGGATCCCCGGATTGACAAAAGAGCCAACTGACAACTATTTATATATTTATATATTTAAATAATAAGTATTTTAAATTTGTTGACAAAGGTCGAGGTAGTCCTACTATCAGTGAGGGAACCTTCTGGCACTTATACGGCACTGAGAGTACGTCTGGTGTCGTTGTCGTAGTGCTCGTGGTTGCCTTGCTCGTTGGATACCAGCAAACGTCTCGTTTTCGTAGCTGAACCCGACGGGGGCCGTTGACAAGGGCGCCCGGTGGGAGAGCCACGAGTTCGCCGGCATTACACTCGCTGGGTTACTACACTAGTAAGTCGAGACTCTGCACTCCCGTCCGATAGATCGTCCTTAGCGTCTGACACCTTATCTATCTCTACTACTTGCATTTTATTATTACTCCTTTTTTCTTTTAATAATTATTGTAATTACTTTTTAACAATTCAAGTGGCAATGTGTGTTAATTCAGTGAATTTTTTAAATAATTTGTGTTTTAATATTTTATCTTAATTGTGTGATATTATCCACAAATTGTGATTTTCCCTTCTTTTCAAATTTTTTTAATTCCCCAACTATTTAATTTATATATGTGATAATTAATTTTTTTCAAGTGTAGTTTTAATAAAAATTAATTTAGTAGATATTTGTTAATTTTAAGAATTTTTTTAACAAATGAATTGACGTAAAAATTAAAAAAAATTAAAATTGCAATTTTTTCAATAAATTTTTTTGTTAAAAAAAATGAATTCCTCACATGTAACAATTTAATTGATTTATGAAATAAATATTTTTTTTTTTTCAAGTGTAATTTAAATCAAATTTATAAAAATTAATTTAACAGATATTTGTTAATTTTAAAAATTTTTTTCATAATTGAATGTAAAAATTAAAAAAAAAATTGAAATTGCAATTTTTTTGTTAAAAAAAAAAATAAATTCCTCTCATGTAACAATTTAATTATATTTTAATTGATTTATCTAATAAATATTTTTTTTTTCATATAAAAATTAATTTATCAGATATTTGATAATTTTTGTAACAAATAAAACAGTAAAAATTGAAATAGCAATTTTTTAAAAATAATTTTTTTGTTATAAAAATTTTTTAAATGCTTCAAGTGACTGCTAACTCAAATATCATACTAAAAAAAAAAAAGAATTTAATCAAAGAATTAAAAGAAAGTAGATAAATATAATCCAAGTATTAATTACCAACAACTACGGTAGGTAATCCGTCGGACGGGTATCTAGACCTTGCAATGCCATTTGAACAGCGTTCTTTCTCTTTCCCTTGAACCAGTGGCGTCGGCAGGAAGCCGAAGAGGAAGCTGAAGGTGGTCGTTGGTGAGGTAGCTTAGCGTCAGATGACGCGATTTTAATCCCTACCAATTTCCTCAGTTTTATATGCATAATAATATCTATATATATATATCTGTCATATAGATATATAGATATCTATATCTTCTCTTTCTATTTAATTCCGAGTGGAGCTGTGTGAATTGTCTCTAGTTGCAATAGAAGACCAACGGGAGCAACCACCTCCACAAGTACTTAACAGCAGTCGAGCTACACTCACGCTTGCGCTCGGTAATGTCGTTTGTAGTGTAGGTACACTATATATATAAATATACATATATGTATACAGATATATATATATATATATATATATATATATATATATATATATATATATATATATATCTGTAGCTAGAGAGTAGCCGGCGCGTCTCGTCGTCGTGCCAATAGGTCGCACACTCATTAGCCCAGTCGCGCGCGCGATTTCCCCACCCTGAGGCACGATCAGCTGGTCGACGGCCACGCGGCTTTGCCAACCAGCAGACAGCGACCTCGGTACAACCTCACTATCTCCTTTTTATCCTCCCACTGGTCTCACTCAAGCCCTCTCTCTCCCTCTAGTGTAGAGCTTCATGACCCGGCATCATACTCCACGCGGAGTATCTCTACCCACTTGTTTCTACGCTCAGGGTCGTCTTCAGGGCCTGTTTTTTTTTTTTTATATTTTCTTCATTATACTTTTGTTTATTATTAATCTTTAATTGGTCTAGGTTTCTTTATCGCTTATTTATTTATTTATTATTTTTTTTTTTTTTAAACAACTTTTACGACCTGATTGATTATAATCTTTATTTTACTACTCGGAAAAAAGAAAAAGTTTTAAAATTATGTTATAAAATTTAATCTGGAGGTTTTTATTCGGAAAAATTTTAATTTTAATTGAGAGAAAAATTCTTGAATCAAGAAAATTATTTTGTAATTTAAGTAATTTTTTAAAGTTTCTAAAGATAGAATTTTAAAAATAAATTTTTCTTGCTGTAATTTATTAATTAAAAAATTTTTTTTAATTAGTTACTTGATTCATTTTTTTTTCTGTGTATAAAAAATAAAAAATTACAGTTTAAAATTGTAATTTTTACAGATTTTTAAAAATTAAATTTTAAAATGTAAATATTACAATTAAATTTGTAAAAATTAAGTTTGAATTTTTTAAAATATTATTTCAAACTACAATTTTTCTAGTTTAAAATTTTAAGAGACATTTATAATGTAATTTTTCCCTTTTTTTATCTGTATAGTTAGTAAATCCATCACTTTAATACTCAATTTAAATTTCCATGATTTGAAACTAAGAGAAAGTTGAATAAGCTTACTTATGATTATCTTGCAAGAGTATTTAAATTATTTTAGATATTTTTTTATCGCGCAATAAGGAGTAGTCAATATTATTTTTAATTATTTGATATATCAATTAAATTATTAGTCAGAAAAATTAATAAAAAAAAAACACTTTTTTTATTGCAATTAATTTTTAATAAAAATTAAAAAATTAAATTAATTGAAAAAAAAAGTTTATTTATTTTATAATTGATTCGAACTTTTAATAATTTATCATGTAAATCTGAGTGAATAAATAAGCAAAAGTGTGGCTCGAGTAATTAAGTTATCCCCTTTTAACATATTAAATAAAATAAAATATTTCTATTTGCAATTGGAGTAAGTATAAAACTTTATCAGGGCGATCAGTAAAAATAAAAAATGGGTCCATTAATGAAGTTTACAACTATGGTAGTAAAAAAATGAATGGCAGAACAGAGTTACCTAAGATAGTAATAAAAATCGTTGCCAATGACTGAGATTAGAGAAAAGTAAGAGTATTGAGCGGAGGTAATTAAATAGCAGATATTAAGATACTTTTTAGAGTAAACAAACTCGACAGGTGGAGCTGAGTCCTTCTTACATAGTTAGTTTATGCATCAAAGCGTTCGGCGGCGCCACTCAGATACACCACCAACCCGATGTTATCCGCTACGTCACACTATCATTCTTCCTCAAGTTACAAAAGCGCCGTAGATCGAGTACGAGCTATTGACATGGCTCTTTCCCCTTCTCAAAAGACCTCCAGCCAGTTGGAAAGCACCCAGTCATCGAGCGTATTTGATAACGTCACGAGAGAACTCATATAAGACTATGTTCTCTATATATATTACTATTACCTACAAGTCAGAATATTTACCCCCAAACCGACGACTGCGAAGTATTGAAAACCTTTGCCGTAAGAGTACATCACAGCAATGGCGACTGTTAAAAAGCTTACGAAGATCAATAATTTACTTACAACTATTTTCTTTAAATAGCTTCGAGTATTCATGTTCATATTAGAGTTAATTTGGAGTCACTCCATTTAATTAAAAAAAAAAAAAATTTACTTTAACGAAGAGAAAAATTCTTTAATCAAGAAAATAATTTTTTAGAGTTTTATTGATTTGAATAAAAAATTCTTTAATTAAGTAAAATTTTCCTTAAACTTTAAGAATTTTTTTACTCAAATCAAAAACAAGTTCTTCAAAATTATTTACTTGATTCAAATTAATTTTTATTTAATTTATTTTTACTAAAATTCTTAACTAAAGACTTTAAAGTCTTTTTGTAAAGATTACTTCATTTTATTTTCCTGATAAATAATTAATCGGCAGAAATATATCAAATGATAATTAAAAAATTATAATAAAAGTTTACTTTAATCAAGAAAAAAACTTTATAGTTAAAAAAAAGTAATTAATACGAGATCTAAGCTGTTAATTCTAACAAAAATCTATAATTAATTACCAAATAATATAAAAATATTTCAAATAAATTATAATTAAGGATAATCTAAGTTTATAATTCTGTTTTTGGCAGCTAAATTTAAGTTACACTTTATTAATAGTATGCAAATTTAATTTAAGTAATTTTATGTGTAACTATTATTAAAATGTACTGCAATTTTACTTAAAATTTTTTTTACCAGTAAATAAATAAATACAAATTTTAAAGAGTTTTATTGTCTTTAATCAAGACAAAAAAATTTTTAGATCAAGAATTTTTTTACTCCAAACAAAAAAAATTTCGTAAAATTTATTTACTTAAAAATTTTTTTTTTTTGTATTTTTTGGCTATTCCCTGATGTTTACAACATTAAAGTAAACATTATTATTATGTATAATAATAACTAATACTGTAATGAAAGTAGACAAAAATAAGACGCAGATGATTTAAAAAATTGGATAACGATAACGAACCATAAGATGCGATTAAATAATAAATAAATAAATAAACTAATAGGTAGAGGTTTGGTTACTGTGTATAGTAGTCACATTACAACAAAGAATTAAAGAGTAAGATAATGATGTCATTGGATATATGAGTCATTGCTGAATAAAATAAAATTTCATGGATACCTGAGAGATTTGGCCCTGGGTCGTTGCGCTGCACGATGAATTACGTTGATCTCGCGAGGGTGGAGCATTGTCACGCCTCGTCCAGTCTATTCCCGGGGTAGTCGGTTGGCCGCACTTAACGGCGTTAGGTAACGACGACGACTGCGCGGTGTCGAGGGCATTTTTATTCGGCCCGTTGTTCCGACCACCCTGCAATAAACATTTATTTTCGTTACATACGGAATTTCGGGTTTAGTTATTCATTTTTCTTTAATTACAGTTAATAATGGGTAAGCTCAAATTCATAGAAAACAAATTAAAGACCTGCTTAGGAGATTAATTATTAAATTTTAATTTTTTCTAATAAAATTGCGATACGTCTGCGGAGATTTTTTTCCCGATCTGACGAATAAATTTATTAAATTCATACAAAGTCTCCGCATAATCTTTAAATCATCAATTTTTTTTTTTATGATTCTTTATAGACAAATTATTAATTTAATATGTAAATAAATAATAATAAACAATTATTAGTAGCATGAATGACTTGTTATTAAGTTAACGAGCACTAAATAATATAAATTTTATAGTGTCATTGTCGTAATTTTATATACACAGTAAATTCTTCTTATTTTTAATATTGGAGCGCTTGTTTAATCACCCGGAAATTAGACAAAGCAGTCGATATCGTAGTTGGAAGTGACAACCAGAACGAAATTAAACCAAAAGATTAGATTCCACGGATAAAAACGGATGGTAATGTAGAACTACAAGATTCTTCTCTACGCATCCCACAGTGGGAATACACATCAACATACCAAGTGTATAAAAATACAATTCATTTCTATAAATTTACCGAGTTTTCAATTAATATCTCTTTTCATTCATTCATTCATTTTTTGTAAATTTATTAATCAATAAAATAATCTTTTTAAATAAAAAAAATAATCTTTATCAATTCTTGCTTTAAAAAAATCAAAAAAAATTTTCTTCAATTAGCCAACAAATTTACACTAAAAAAAAAAAAATTTATTTTGAAAAAACGGACATTTTTGTAATAAGAAATTAATTTGTTAGAGATTTTATTTCTTAGTTAAAGAAATAAAAATTTTTTTTAGTAATTTTCTTGTTAGAAAAAAGAATTTTCATCTAAAATTATTTTTTTCCAAATCCAGAAAATTTTTTTAAAAGAAATTTATTCTAATAAAAATTTTATTTTTTTAGATAAGAAATAAAATTATTTTAATTAATTTTTTGTCACAAAAAATATTCATTTTTGTCAAAATAAATTTTTTTCGATAAAAAAACGATTGAAGAGTACAAAAAAAGAACTGATAAATTACTAACAAGATAATTGAAAAATATTATCATTAAAAAAAAAAAAAATGTAAATTCCAAGAGCACTCGATTAAGATAAAAATATGAATATGTAGTTTAAAATCTAATCTCCAGCGCTGTTGAATAGAATTGTGAAAAGTAATTGAAAAGCATTGATGATATGAGCGTAGAGGCAATGGCGGCTTGGGATTCGCTTGGCACATCCTGATCGATCCTCAAACACCCGTGGCTGCTCTGTACGGTCGTTGAGTTGAGTTGGATATTCACTGTTGGTACGGCTCCCTTTCGCCACCCTGAGCCAATCTTATTCCGGCACGAGCGGCCAAGAGAACTTGCTTTTCTCCCTCTCGCTCTTTCATTCTGTCCTGGCTCTTCCTCATCGCTCTCTCTTTCTTCCAATATATATCTATGTATACATACATATATGTGAGTACATGTATATATATATATATATATATATATATATATATATATATATATATATTTAGTAGCGCCTCTGCGTGTGTCTCTGCAACGAAAAATCGATAAACCCGCGGATCCGCGGCACCCGGCTGCCGTCACTCGCCCTTCAAGTGCCCCTTCAATGCATCCCTTTTCCAGTTGCGAAAGTCATCCAATGTTTAAGCCATTTTCATTTATTTTCCGGCGTAAATATATCCTAAAGAGAGATTTGACCTCCAGGAGGTCAAAACCGCGAGTCATTGAATTATTTTAATCAAAGTAAATAATTTAATTGGTAAGACCAAAAATTATGCAGATTATTTTGATTTACAAACAAATATAGAAGCTATAACTAATAAAATAAAATAAAATAAAAAATATATATAATGATAATGATGTAATGTGTAAGCATTTGTAAGCGTAGATTAGAGAGTGTGCTGAATAAATATGTTAAAAACCCGTCTTATATATTTTATTTGTCTTGTTGGCGTGTGTTATTCCTATACACAACAAAACTTAAAGTTTAGTTATAAACTAGACGACAAGACTCGCTACATATACATTTTCTATGCCTCTATCAAACTGTACTGTACACCGATGACTCTTTAGCTCGCGTCTGTCTATATATAAACCCGACTAACGTTTAAATACATTGTATAAATATTATAAATACTTTGTATTTAATTTTAATTCAAATAAAAAAATCAAATAATTAATTAAAAAATTAAAAAATTTTTAGTAAACTCGATATTGTTTAAGAATGTGGAATGCGGGTCCATTTAAAATAATGACACTAAAGTTAGCAGTTTTGGCCAGTTTTTAATTTTTTTTTAACAAATAAATTTGTTTTAAAAAATTGCATTTTTAATTTTTTGAAATTTTTACATGTCAATTTTTTTTTCCATAATTTATTTGTTACAAAATTATTAAATATTTGCACTGATAGAAGGATTTATTTGTATTTAAAAATATTTGTTAATGTTTAACAAATAATTTATTAGAGACCACTTTTTAGTCCTTAACACAAATATTTCTTAGTATTTAAAAAGATTTAATAAATAAATATCAGATTTATTAAATACAAACAAATCATTTCAAATACTAAGAAATATTTGTTTAATACTAAAAAGTGGCCTCTAATAAATAATTTTTTAAATATTAACAAATATTTTTAACTATAAACAAATTCTTCTATCAGTGTAATGACATTAAAGTTGGCAGTTTTTAATTTTTTTTTAACAAATAAATTTGTTTTTAAAAATTGCATTTTTTATTTTGTAAAATTTTTACGTCAATTTTTTTTTTTTTTTTGCCATAATTTATTTGCTACAAAATTCTTAAATATCTGCTAAATTAATTTAAATTTTAAAATAAAATAAAAATAACCTCGTTATAATGGTTGACACATGGAATGTCCACTTTAGGCGAAAAGAACCGCGAGGTAACGCATATTGGCGAGATCGGGTTTGCGTAATCAACCATCCGAGTGTACTATACTTATACAGAGAAAGAGAAAGATTGAGATAAAGAGAAAATGAGCGAGAGAAAGAGCAACTCGATCGATCGCCAGTGTTTGCTGCCACAACCAACTGAGTACGAGGGAGACGTGGTTACAGATAATGTAAAGAGTAGAGGTGCAAAGACGAAAGAGGAAACACAGGTTGACTGTATGATCTCTGCTCTTTGGGCTTAGTTGCACCCAACTCGCGTTTTTGCGCTCCAATTCTATTTAATCGCTTAATAGACTCCAGATTTCCATTAATAATAATATCCTCAAGTTCAATGATTAAATTCATTACCAAATTTTTTCTATATTACTCCATTGAATGCAGGGCTCCCCTGGAAGGGATTCCAGCTTAAAACAGATTCTTTTTTGGTCTCTCCTCTCTTTTTACAGGATTCTATGTCTCTATACACTATGCTAGAATTCTCGATCGATCGTTACGTCCCGGCTTGCAAGAGAGCTTATTCACTCCCTCTCCCTTTTATCTTCCGTCTCTCTCTGTTGGTATCTCGATATCCGCGGAGCGTCGAAATTAGCCGGCCACGAGTGTCGAGATCCCCAGACCGTTGCAACGTTGCCATGCAGGTCACTGTCGACTCCAATATCAGTGAAGTAATCCTCTTCAATTTGATTATTATTATTTTTATAAATTCTTCATCCATATTATTAAATATATTAAGTATTCATATTAAGTTTGAAGAACTTGACCAATTTTATAATTATTATGTATAAAATAAATAATTAATATTTGTTGATTATTTTTACTCCTCTTTTTCTCATGCTTTATATTTAATTGTTATAAATATTATTTATTATATTTAATTTTTTCTGTACTTAATATCTTGCCATTTAATATAAATAAATAAATAAATTTTTTAATTGCTTTATAAGGCAAAATATTAAAGATTCTTCTATAAATTTAATTAAAAAAAAAATATATATTTTTTTTTTGTTTAAATAAAAATATATGTTACATATTAAGATATGTTTTAGACAGTAGGTTAGCACATCAGAAATGAAAGGACCAGTACAGAAAGAAACTTAGGATCGATATGTATGTATATACCGATGTGCACGCGAATTTATTACGTGTCACGCATCACAAAGCTGTATTCCTCCCCATAAACAGCTCTAAGGGTGACTGTACTCTATTTACTTTCAATCTCTTCTTTATTACAACACTAAAAATTGATATATTTATAGATCAAGAGATAATGATCGATATAAGTGTCGTCAATGGATTGGTACAGATCAACCGGCGATTCGCTCGATCTATCCGACCTCGTTTTAGTTTGCCACACCTATTATTTTTTCCTAAACCGAAAATTTTGAAAAGCACATTTAATTAATTTAAATGTGGTTATAATTAAAGTTTTATATTTTTTTTTTTTAGCTTGTATTAGGGGAAAAAAATTCCTGATTTAATTTAAAAATACTATTATGAAATATATAATTAATGTAATGTTCTATTTTCAGATTAAACCATCTCTAATGATACGATTTCCTAGGAGGTTCCGGTCGATACGAGGTTGGTGAAAGTGGCAACGTCGTTGGCACAAGGAAGCGTCACACATTGGCAGTCAATGAGGACTGAGTCATCATCAACGTTATGTATCACAATACCAGATAAATAAAACAATATATGCAAAGATGAAATATTTAATAAGATCAACAGTAATTTAATTCCAAACAATTTTATTATTTTACTAAATATATTTTTAATTAATAATTCAAATTTATTTATTTTTAAAATAGTAAGAGGTATAAAAGAAAAAAATTGTTTGGCTGTTAAATAACGTTGAATGTTGGAATAATAACGTCACGAATATGTGCTCACCCTCGCGCCGAGAAAGCGGGCCTCCAGTAATTCCTGCTTCCTAGGGTCCAGGGTGGCCTGAAAGTGCTCCATCTTGACGCCAGCGCCTGTAACACACACAACGAGACTTGATGTTCCTTCCGAGCAGATTGCAAGTCCTTTTCTAAGTGACTACATGAGAGACAGAAGAGACAGATGAAGTAGTATAGATGAGAGAATTGAGAGCTGGAAATCCAATCTACCCAGCTATAAACACTAAATAATCTATCTAAATTATCATCGAGTGATACTACTGCACAGAAAAAAAAAATTTCTTGAATCAAGTATATAATTTTGAAGAACTTAATCTTTTTGATTTAAGTAAAAAAATTCTTAAACTAATAAATTTTTACTTGACAAATATGTACAAAATAATTACAATAAAGTACACGTATTTTTAGGAGATTTAAGGAAATTTTACTTGATTAAAGAATTTTTCTCTCGAATCAAATTAATTTTTTTTTTAGTGTGCACAGAAAAAAAAATTTTCTTGAATCAAGGATATAATTTTGAAGAACTTAATCTTGATTTAAGTGAAAAAATTCTTGAATTAATAAATTTTTCTTGATTTATTTATTTATTTAATTTAATGCCGAAGCAATAGCTATATGGCAAATATGTACATAATAATTATAATAATGTACACGTATTTTTATGAGATTTAAGGAAATTTTGATCGATTAAAGAATTTTTCGTCTTGATTAAAGACAATTATCTTCTTCAAAATTATTTTCTTGACTCAAGAATTTTTCTCTTGAATCAAATTAATTTTTTTTCAGTGAGCACAGAAAAAAAATGTTCTTAAATCAAGTATATAATTTTGAAGAACTTAATCTAGATTTGAGTAAAATAAATTCTTGAATTAATAAATTTTTCTTGATTAAAGAATTTTTCGTTTTGATTCAAGACAACTAATTTTTTTTTTTTTCAGTGTATAAAACATTGAATCTAACATTAAATACCCTGCTCCGATATATACTGCATTTATGTATAAAGACTTTGTACCCTTCAGTTGTAGTTGTTGCTAGAAGACATCATAAAGATAAACAAGGACAGAATAAACCTGGCTCTACTCGGCTCGAAAATCGATACTATGCAAGTCGGAAAATTTTCGGCCACTATCGGGTTCACACCAAACCTCAAGAGGACTCGCCCATCAAGATATTTACATGCATTCAATTTGTAATCATGCTGTACTCAATAATATTTTTAAACCCCAAATTATCAGCCTGAGCCTAAGCAATTTTTTTTACGAGATTGCTCCTAATTAATTATGAATTATTTACATCCTATGGAGGGATATTAACTTAAAAATCAAAAATTAGATTTTTTTTAATCGGGCGTGGCAAAAAAATGCAAACTCAAGATGAATACGTTTAGCTCTATCAATTAGTCTAAGATTGGGTTTGGATTTTAAGAAGAGATCTTGGTAAGGGTTCTACTATCTCAAGATACAAGTTAAGACGGTTGTTGAGGAGACAGTTTGGTTGTTGTTGCTGCTAGTTGTAAAGCGTTGCAGTAACAATATGACAATGGCGGCCTTAATCGATGAAACTGTAGCATTTGAAAGTTTAATACGCCCACGAGGTTGTCCGAACGGTGTTCGTTTCTCTCTTCTTCCTCCCCTTTACTTCATTCTCCTCTTGTGATACTCTTCTGCTGCTGCTGCTGCTGCTGCTGTTTCGACTCATCGTAAATCGGTACAGAGTATAACTGCGCCGTTTCTAATTCTCTTTCGGCAGCGCCATGATTTTACATGCCTCTTTCATCAAATATCATCATCATCATCTTCATTACCATAATTTATTTTAATTGTCTAAAAATTTTTGTTTAGAAAATTCGGCTCTTTTTGGTGAAAAATTCCAGCCGTAAAAATGAATTTGTTACTAACTAAGGAGTTATAATAATATTTTATTGATATTATTTTTATTATTATTGAAACCTTGATCAACTTGTGTCAAAGAAATGTTGGATTTTTTTTCTACTGATCAAACTTCCTTCATGACTATGGCGCCATCTTCAGACTCAATATGAATACTTCCGGATTACAGAAACGTGTGCCGAAATTCACACAAATTGATTGATTTTATTTGGCTATATATAGTATCAATTAATTTTAATAAAATTTTATTAACGTTAATTTACAAAAATAATATTTCCCCTACCCAAAAATAAAACAAGTAAATTAAATTAATTTACTAATTAATTAACCTTCAATAAATGTTATTTTTATCTCTATTGTGATACTATCATTTAATAGTCACAAATATAGATTATTATTTTTTACAAAAGTAATTGAGATTAATTTTTTTCGATTGTTCTAACTAATGCGGCAAGAAGCCTCGAATTAAGAGAATAAACCCAGAAATTTAAAGAAAATATTTGTTTTAAGACTGGACCATGTTACTTAATATCTCCAGATTAAAGTAGTGAAACAAAAGTTGTCTCTCCTGTCTCTCTTAATCAATTAATCAAAGCTTTCTCCGTCCATTCCATGCATATTCCTCATTTTTTGTCAATAATTTGATGAAAAAAATAAAAGAATGTACATTATAAATATATTATATATTAATTAATAATGATTGCTTACCACCACCAGAATTCCAACAATTGTCAGTCATCCCTGTTTATCCATCTGCAATGTTGGCACTATTTAACTTTTATTTTTCCTAAATCCTTATTAGTTACAACTTTTGTTTCCAGGATAAATTTATTATATCACTGTCAAAAACTTTTCCTTCCCAAATGAATATACCACTGATGCACGAGAGGATAACTCAATGCATATGGTATTCATGATGTTTATATATATTATACATACAATATAATATTTAAATACTGCTAGTAAATTTCACTTGATCACCTAAGACTTTTTACACCTCACAACACTAGCCTAAAATTTAATTTTCATTCATTAATATTTATAACAAACATTAATTTAATTTAATAAATAATATGAATAATTTTTTTTTATTTAATTAAATTAAATATCAGTCACGTTAGAATTTTTTAATTTTTTTCAACAAAAAAATTCCGAAAAATTATTTTTAAAAAATTGCATTTTTAATTTTTTTTTGCCATAATTTATCTATTAAAAAAAATTATTAAATATCTGCTAAATTTATCATCATAAATCCAATTGGTATTAAAGGAGCAGACAAATAAAAAATATTAAATTAAGCCAAAAAAATTAAAAAAATTTTGGATCTAAAAAAATAAAAAAAAAAAATTATTCAAAAGTAAAATAAAATAGAGGTCGTACCTCTTAATTATGTTGATAACCAAAGAATCAACTGTACACTGAACGTAATAAAAATAACACGATAAAAAAAATATTCACTCAATAAATACTAAAAAAACAAACACTTAATATTACTATGAACGTTCAAATAGTAATTATTTTTATATTATTCAATCACTAAACTGTTTTTTAGATTTTCCGTATACAATATCACGTATAGTATAACATTAAAATTGGCAAATCCATAACGAATAACTGACGGACTACTCTTAGCAGATTTTTGAGGTTAGAAACTCATACATAGACACTTTATATACATACATACAATTTGTCTTGGCGTTTTAAAGTAAAACGACATCAATCGGTGGTAAAATCCAAATACCGGATGAGCCAATGATATGAAAGAATCGAGACGAGGGAACAAGTCCTGACATGTTGTCGTGGTGGTGCTGGTTGGTCCTCTAAGTGTTGAAACTATTCAAAAATTTTTCCAATACTCTTCTCTCTCTCTTCCTCTCTCTTTTTTTTTTCTTTTTTTTTTTTTTTTTTTTTTTTTTATTTACTTGGTAACCACCATGGAAAAAAAGCTCAAGGTTCTTTCTTGCACAGTACCAAAATATAAAAACTGACAAGAATAAAACAGTTGTAATTTAGAGAAGAAATCCGGGAAAATACACACACTCTTAAAGACTGTTGACACAAATCAAAGAAAGGTCCGTACTGTTTCTCTGTGAATTTAACTTGACACTGCACTACACAACACAAAACAGGACTTAAATAATTGGGTGTATTTTCCCAAATATATATAAATATATAATATATATTATATATTATTGTTGGGTAAGAAAAAGGGGAAAAAGTACTCTCATCTAGAAGATGGCCGCCACCGCCCGCCAGTCGGCGATTTATCCCTTTCTTGCATGGCCACCGCACTCTTGGCCCTCGGCACACTAGTACTGGTTCTCTCTCTCTGTCAATCTGTTCTGTCTCTGTCTTCTCATTGGCTCATACGCCGTTTTATAAACAATGTGCGTTGAAACGACGAAGGAGGCGCGCGCGTGCCAACTCCTTGTCTCTTTCTCTTTCTCACGATACTACTCGGTAATTTACGATTATCCTCTTGTTTCTTTCTCTGTCAGCTCTCTCAAGTTGTTCTGTTCATTTTACGCGTTTTACTGCTGCTGCTGCTGCTGCTGCTGGTAGTGCTGGTAGTGCTCTGTTGATGGTTGACGCCGATGATGATGATGATGATGATGATGATGATGATGATGGTGGTGGTGGTGGTGGTGGTGGTGGTGGTAGTAGTGCTGTTGCTGCTGCAACGCCTCTTCTGTGCTCCAAGACAGTCAACAGCTTTTCCAGCGGTTCTTTTCAGGGCCAAACCACCGATTATTATATATGTTGCACTACATATTACAAACAGAACACACTATTCACTATGTACGTATTAATTTAACATTTAATCAACACCATCCTGTCACAGTAAGACATTTATGTCAGGAGTGTTATTTATATTTTTATAAATACTATTTTATTTGTTTTTTATTATTTATTTATTTGGTTGATAAAATTAGCCAGCTGATTTTGTTGTGAAGGAAATACACTGTTTTAAAAAATAAATAAATTATCCCGTCACAACAGACGTTTGTGCCGGAGTGACAGCACAGAAGATCACACCCACACGTAAATAGAATGGCCGACCAGACAAAACCAACTTAAAGCCGATCCAATTTTGTTTTGCGTGCAATAGGTGACGACGGTTACGTCCCAAGCATCGTACTCTCACGAAGCTTCGTGTTCTCTATGGGAAGGGGACATTGTAGCAAGAGGGGTAAGACGAAGGGAAAGCATCAACCAACTTGCATGGATTTCTCAGTTCTTAGTCTTATATTCTTACTTATACCATAGCTTCACATTATATTATCTTCTTTTTCTTTCTATTCTCATTCTCTTATCCTCCTTTCATTCCATTCCACGGTCTTCCTCATCTATCTTCTTTACTTATGCATTTTTTCACTCCATGGTGTACATTCCACGTCGGCGTTCTTCGGACCTATGATTTTTTAAATTTAAATTGCCGATATTTGAAAATTTTTATTAAAATATTATTTTTTAAAAATTTATAAAATTTTTTTTTCTTCTTATTTAATTACTAAAATAATCAATTATTTAACATCAGCTAATTTTAGAATCATCACTTTTTATTATTTTAAAAATAAAATTTAAAAAAAAAATTCTAAAACTTTTTAAATGGCTTAACTTTTTAATTTTATTTTTATTTAAAATTTAAAAACATCTGACAATTTTTATAAATTTTTTAATAATAAATTAAAGCAAAAAAAATTGATTAAAGAAATTCCATCATTAGAAGCTCTAAAAAATAATAAATGTAATTTTTTATAAAGTTTTTAATAATAAATTAAAGCAAAAAAAATTTACATAAAAAATTCTATTTTTAGAAGCTTTAAAAAATTACAAATTATCAAGTCTCTGCTAATTTTAATTCTATCTTTTCTTCTTTGGCCTTTATTAAATAATTTAAATACTTAACTTTTTTTTATTATTGTTTCTTCAATGCTTCATTTCTTCTCAACTTTTAAGGGCTTTATTTTTAAAAATCAATTCGTCACAATGTTCTTATATTTCTACTGGATGCAGTAAACATTTAAGTATTTCATTATTTTTTGGAAAAAATTTTATAAATTGTGTATAAAGAAATTAATTTTTTAAATTTATAAAAAACTCAGACGCAAATAAATAATTTTTATTTATTATTATACACATATTTTATTACATATAATTATTTTTTAAATATTTTTTATATCAACAGAGTAATTTTAAATTTTTAATTACGAAAAAAATTAACTACTTTTTTAAATAATACAAAAGATATTTACGCACTTGGTAACTATTATGGCATTAATTGTTACATATATTAATATAGAATATGTAAGTTTTCTACATTGTAAATTTTATTTATTAACAAATTTTATTAACTATATTATAAATGAGTTGTATGAATGAATGAATGAATGAATGAGTTTCTTTTTATTTATAAATAATAAAACTAATTAAAAAATTTTTTACTATAACAAAAACAGTCGTAAAAAAAATAACAACTTATATAAATACTTATTTCATACTAAAAAAAAAATCACACTCACATAGTCTACTTTTTTTTGTGGTGGTATCCTTAATTGAAAAAGTATCAACATTCATCAGTCCCAAGCTAAATGAGACAATTATGTTTATATATGGGGTATTCTTCAACAAATTGATCAATTTTAACCCTGACCCCTTTCGATTTGACTGAAATGTTTTTATTATTTTTTCACACTTCAATAAAAACCTCTTAAAATTTGCTAAATTACTTAAAAAAAATTTTTTTTTAAATTAATTATTAAAAAAAATTATTTTTTTCTTATATAAGACTCCAAAAAAAATAATTTAAAAAAATCTTAGGCAGAATTAAAATATTTACAGAATTTCAAATTAAAAATTTTTTTTAATTTTTTTCTCAAGAAAATAAAAAAAAATCATTTTATTTTTAGATTAGAAATTTTTTTTAATTAATTTTTTGAATATTCAATAAAAAGTGTTGAAAAAAAATTGCTTTTTTTAAATTTACAATTTTTTTTTCAATTAATAAATGGGTAAAAAATTAATAAAAAAAATATGAGAAATTTTTAATGAACCAGAAAAAAAATAAAAAATTTCAGACAAGTCATCTACTTTGTCGTGGAATGCTCCATATATATTTTTATTCCTAAAATCAGTTCAGGGTAAAATAAAATAAAAAAAATGGAGTTTTTAAATAAATAACAATTAATCAACCTCTACAGTAGTACCAGTACTACTAATAGGAGTATCCAGCTCCTCAATAATATGATTGTTACTTTCTTTTTTAATTTCACTATCATTGTCATTTGAAGTATCACTACCCTGGTTAACATTATCGTTTCGTACTTCAACTTCTTCGGGTTGTATTGTCGTCAATGTGCTCCACCAGTTTGAAAAAGCGCCTTTAGCTTGAGAAAGTGCACCGCCTATTCATTAAAAAAAATTTTTTTAATAAAAAATAATAATTAATTTATAAAATAAAAACAGCAATGTATTATTTCATACCGACGGCTTTTCCTGTAGTCGCAACGGCTCTCCCAGTAGTTGCCATTGCTTGATTTATTTTTCTTCCACTTTCAGTATTTTGCATGGTACTATTGATAATAATAATATTATTATTAATTATCAATTAATTAATTAAAAAAAATATATAATAAAGTAAAATATTGAACATACTGGGAAAACCTTAATTTCATATCTTGAACAGATAGTTGTCCCGCAAATGGATGTCCCGGTTCAATATTATTGATCTCTGTTTTAACAGAATTACACCACAAATTATAATTGTTAGTAGTTTTCCAAGCGGCTACAAATGCTCCATTGAAATGATCCGACTGTCGTGTATCTTGCTGCATTGATGTTCGGAGTAAACTAAGAAGGTAAACACGAAATTGTGTTCGAATCCATTCATCACCTCCTTCCCACCCTACGCCATCCAAGAAGACATCTCTACGAGGTTCTGCTACATGTCGTACAACATAGTCAGCAAATCTTAAATCTTCTGTGGTTAAATGGAGTTGACGGCGAAGCTCTGGATCTGTTGCCTCTATTCTTGCACTTTCAACCTTGTAAATTATTAATAAAATTTTTTAAAACATTTTTTTACGAGTTAAGGACATTAATGCGTAAGACTTAATATTAAATATAAATTTTTAATAAGCTTTAAAACTTTTTTTAATTAAAATTATTGAAGTAGATAAATAAAAAATGTTTAAAATAATTATCTGATTCATTTTTAAAATAAATACCTGATATAATTAAATAAATTTAATAAATAATAAAGATGACTAATTTATATTTACTAATTCTTTAAAATATATGCCTGAAAAAAATTTCAGGAAAATTCTAAATCATTTTTAAATTATTGATATACTTAATAATTTTTTTTTTTTAACTCCAATAAATTTTATTAAAAGTATTAAAAACGCATGAACGTCCTTAAATTGATTAATATGTCTATTTCACCTCAATAAGAACATCTATAAGTTGTTTTTTTTGTTTGAATAAAACATTTGTTGCTCCAACAATGTATCCTCTTACATTTATGTCTCCAAGAAGATCCAAGTAAGGTAAAGATAGATATGGCAAGCAAAGGTACCCCTGTAAAATATATAAATAAAATTATTAAATACCAGCAACCTTGCAGTCACTTCGTGACTGCTGTGACTTGTGAAATATGAATAAATAAAATTTTGCTTCTCATTAAATAATGACTTTTGTTAAATTGCACTGTACTTTCTTAATTATTGAAGTTTTTGAAGATATAAGCTCATCCCGATGTTACACTCATCAAGAGTTTTCATTTGAGTACCCACATGCATTTTTAATATATTTTTCATATATACATATACATAATATATATATATATATATATATATAAATATATGAAAAATTGATGTGGGTACTCAAATGAAAGGTCTCGATGAATGTGATGTCGGAGTGAGCTTATATCTTTAAAAATGTCAATAGTTCACAAAATATTTGTTAAATTGCACTGTACTTTCTTAAATATTGACGTTTTTTAAATATATAAGCTCATCCCGATGTTACACTCATCAAGAGCTTTCATTTGAGCACCCACATGAATTTTCATATACACATATTAGGGTGTGCTAAAATGTAACTTCCGTGAAGAACCTTTTAAAATTGGAATTTTCAGTTCTACTTTTGAAATCAGCTGTGTTTAGGCCTTTCCTAAGATATTTTGGGGTGAAACGATAAATTTGATTTTCATAGAATTTTTTAGCAGGAGGTTTAATTGGGCACTTCCGGCCAAAATTTGAATTTTCAGCGGAAGTGCCCAAACTAAGCTCCGGTTAAAAAATTCTATGAAAATCAAATTTATCGTCTCACCCCAAAATATCTTAGGAAAAGCCTAAACAGAGCTGCTTTTAAAATCGGAACTCAAAATTCCAATTTTAAAAGGTTCTTCACGGAAGTTACATTTTGGCACACCCTAATACATATATATATGAAATATATGAAAAGTTGATGTGGGTATTCAAATAAAAGATCTCGATTAGTGTAACATCGGAATGAGCTTATATCTTTAAAAATCTCAATAGTTCACAAGATACAAGGTCATTTCTTAATTATGTATCTAGAGATAGAGTAAATTTTGTTTTAATTAAAATATTTTACCTCAGTAAAAATATTAAGAGGTAATCCACATAGTTCTGAGTTTACATGAGCCAACTGTGTGATATTAGAAGTAACTCGTGCATCAGAAAGTGCGTCGTTACTTGTATCTCTGGGTAAAATTCCATCATTTTCGTCCATCGTAAAATTAATAGCATTTGAACTTTGTACACGATGAACATTGTCTGTTAATTTATTCAAATCTTTAGAGTCATTTGTTTCATCATGATTGTTGTAAGTATCATTAAATTCCGTTGTCGAGGCAACTTCTATTATTTTACTATTTAAATTATTATCATTGTTGTTTTTCAGTAATAACGATGAATTGTCTATTGAATTATTTACATACTTTTCTTCGACTGTATTTTTGTTTTCATTATTACACAGTGAATTTTCATTAGTACGGTCACTTTGATCACCATCGACACAATATAAATTATTTGTTTCAACGTTTGACGTTAAAATAGAATTATTATCTACACAAGACATATGTTCATCGTCCTTATCGAAATTTGGAATCGGTGACATTGGTCTCGATGGTCTGTATAAAAATAACAAAATATATTATTTTTTTACGAGTTCTTAAGAGTTAAAAAATTAATAATCAATAATTACTTGCCTAACACATGCTGCTCGTTGCAACCCGCTTTCAATCATACCCGGATGTAATGACAACAATGTAAGTATTGCTGCGCAAAGCGGCTGAACAGGTGATTGATAGAATACAACTTTTCTCTCAAGCAGTAGTAATTTAAATAACAATAATGCTTTATGTCTAAATAGGATTATAAAATCTCTTGCTGATAAACCTGGAATAAAAATCCGTAAAAATTATTATTTTTAAATAATTAATTATTTTTTGTATGATTTGTTACGTTTTTTTCAACAAATAAATTTATTTTCAAAAAATCAATTGTTTTTATAAAAAAATTTTTTTAGTAGTAATTTATTTGTTGTAAAAATAAATAATTGCAGATGTTTACTGATTTAAAAGTTGTGTATATATATATATATATATATATATATATATATATATATATATATATATATATATATATATATATATATATATATATAATATATATATTTTTTAGTAGTAATTTATTTGTTGTAAAAATAAATAATTGCAGATATTTGCTAACTTGAGTTTTATTTTTTTTTATTAATAAATAATATTATTATTACCAACAAATACTTGAGGCGGTACTTGTTTGTCACTACTCATACAAGCATTAAGATGTCTGAAAGTATCTTCTAATAATGATACTTTACTAAAATCTCCTTCATCAAAATATGCATGAGTTATTAATTGCATTTTTACTTGAATATGTCCATAAAGTGGTAGTGTACTTAAAACACAAACTGATTTTTGTACAGTTCCTCTTGTCATATCAGAAGTTCGATTTTTTAATTTCTGAATAAGAAAAAAAAATTATTTAAACTTAAAATTTAATAAATACAATTAGCAGACATTTAAAAATTTTAGATTAATTGAATCAATAAAAATTATGAGAAAAAAAATATTTGTTTTAATTTTTTACATGTCAATTTTTTTTTGTTTATTAATTTTTTTGACAATAAAAAAATAAAAAAAATTTTCAAATGTCAGCTAATTTAATTTTCATATAATATTAAAGTTAGCTGTCACTTGACAATTTTTTAATTTTAGTTAACAAAAAAATTTGTCCCGAGAAATTATTTAAAAAAAATTGCATTTTTAATTTATTAAATTTTCTAAATGTCAATTTTTTTTATGCAGTAATTTTTTTATTAGAAAAATTATTAAATATCTGCTAAATTAATTTTCATAATAAAATAAATTTTTTGACATTAAATTTAGCTGTCACATCACAATTATTTAATAAATAAATTATGGAAAAAAAAATAAAATAATAAAATCAAAAACGCAATTTTTTTGTTAAAGAAAATTAAAAAATTTTTAAGTGACAGCTAAATTGAATATCATAATTTTTTTTGTAATTAATAATAATAATTTACTTCAACAGGAATTTGACGAAAGCATGAAACTCCGTATACTGTTTTTTTTGGATCAGTGATACTCGGTAGATGAAAATAAACTGTATCTTCATCATAATTATGCGAACCGTCAGGTAATGCCAAGGTAGGAAGGTATTTCCAACCTAGAGGACATTCATTTGGAGCTCCAGGAACAAGTGGAGGAAATGAATACTCAACCTATTATATAATGAAATTAATAATTAGTGTTATATTTATTTATTTTTTAACTAATCAATAAAATAACAAAAATAACTGATTATTGACAGTTCATACCTGACAACCTTTCTTGTGATGAAAACCAACGACAATGACATGGAGTATTGGCCCGGTAGACTCGGCCATCTCGTTAAAAGTTACCACAATTTAACACCAAGATGATTTAAAATATCATTTATTAACCAATTGATAGTTTAGTCTTATTCATATCACTATAAGTGGGTGTTATAACACACCCGTTATTAATCGCTATCTTTTTAGTGACTTTGCCCACAAGCGTCTCGTTTGCAAACGTAAAAGCTGACTCGACATGCGCCATGATGACTTCACTGAGTATTACGAATACATTGTATTTCATTATATATACCTACACACATTATTTTTCTAACACGCCATTACCTACTTTGCTGTCAGATATTATAATAATAAAAAATATATATATATATATGTTTCATCACTGTTACTGTTGTTTTTATGACATCGAAGTTAACTGACAGAAATTTTTTCATTCTTAAAAAAATTCAACATGTGAAAATTAATATAAATTTTTACAAACATTTTTTTAATGTAATTTAATTATTATAAAATTTTTTTAAATTAACAGCTGATAGTTAAATTCAGTGTCATTAAAAAAATTAAAATTTTTAGAAGCATTTTTTTATTGTTATTGATTTATTTTAAAAATTTTTTGAAATTGACAGCTGACATCTAATTTCAGTATTATCAATTAAATGATAAGTGAAAATGTTTAGAAACATTTTTTTATTGTAATTGATTTATTATAAAAATTTTCAAAATTGACAGCAGATATGAAAATTAAGTTAACCGACACCTAAAAATTTTACTAGAATTTTTTTATTAAAGAAATTAGTACAAAAAAATTAAAAAAAAAAACTTGAAAAATTATAAGTGCATTTTTTAAAAAATATTTTTTCGTTTTAATTTAATAAATTAAAAACAATCAAAGAATCAAAAACGTCGGCTAACTTTAGTATAATACAGCTGATAGCTAACTTCAGTTTTTGGAGATATTTTATAATTATTAAATTAATATTTTTAAAAAATTGCCCTTATAATTTTGAAAGTTTTTTAAAATTGAATTTTTTTTTTTTTAATTTTTTTGTAAAAATTTTATCAAAAAAAATTCTAAAAAATTTTAGATGTCGGCTAACTTAATTTTCATTTTTTTTTATTGTTATTAATTTATTATAAGAATTTTTAAAATTGACATACTTATTTTAAATAAAAAAAAAAATTATAAATAACTATGTAACTGAAGTAAGTAAAAATAAAAAATATTTTATTTTTATCAAAGAAAAATTTTTACAAATTTTTCACTATAATTTTTATTTTAAAAATGTTCTACATACGCATTTATTTTTTAAATAAATAATTATAAGAAAAAAAAAATAAAACTGCTAATTTTAGTACCACAAATAAATTAATTTAATAATACTTAAACAATATTTTTTATTATTGATTCAAGGAAATATTTACATACGTGAAGAAACAATAAATGTTAAATAATGTACATGAAAATAATGACAATATATTTTTTAATTAAAGTGATGTACTTCTGTGGTTATTGTTTGTCAATCCTCGATTAAAACAAATCAAAGTTGATAGAGCGTGTGAAGAAAAATGTATCATTAATAATTTAATTAATAATTATAATTGATGGGTTTCGTTTGCAATGAACAGATTTATGAATTTTATGCAATTAATTAAAATTATAAAAATTAATTTTTCTCTATAATACAACTCTAGAGAATTGTATAGTTTTCTCTCAGTTAGTCGCGATTTATAAAAAAAAGTTATCAAGAGAAAGTCTAGATAATTTTTTTTCTTATATTCAATTAGTATCTTAAACAAATTCCATTGAATTGAATAAATTAGCTTTTTCGACTAAATAGTCGGTCGGGATGCATGAGAGATTAGCTGCTGTTCACTGCTGGACGACCTTCATAATCGCCTCTCCCCGAACCACAGTAAAAAAAATAGTATAATTTAATTAAATTATCGAAACTGTTGCTGTTATTAAGAATCATACATATTTTTGTTGTTGTTGTTTGCTGATAAAGATTATATATATGTATATATCTATAGATTAATATACATAGATATAGTCTTAAATATATAAGCTTACAAATATCTAGTCGTATATGTACAGCTGTTTAAATTTCCCAGCCTTGCTACCTCCTTGAATTGAATCCACGTGTCCCGTCAGGACCAATGGGCATTCTAATCACCTGGTTGTGGCTTGGGTTATGATTTTGATTGACGGAAGAACTAGGACTTATTAATTTCGATTGAATTTTATTAACTTCATGGGCTAACTTTTCTTCGGGACTTTTTTCTTCACCAAGGATTCTTTTTCGTGCTTCCGCATATTCTTGCTCTCTCTAAATATTCAATTATTTATTTTAATATAAATATTTATATGAAAATTAAATTAGCCATTTAAAAATGCTCTATCTCTGGATTTATTTTAAGAAATGACTTTGTATCTTGTGAACTATTAATATTTTTAAAGATCTATAAGCTCATTCCGATGTTACACTCATCGAGACCTTTTATTTGAGTACCCACATCAATTTTTCATATATTTATATATATTATATATATGTATATATGAAAAATATATAAAAATGCATGTGGGTACTCAAATGAAAGCTCTTGATGAGTGTAACATCGGGACGAGCTTATATATTTAAAAACGTCAATATTTAAGAAAGTATAGTGCAATTTAACAAATATTCTGTGAACTATTGACATTTTTAAAGATATAAGCTCACCCCGACATCACATTCATCGAGACCTTTCATTTGAGTACCCACATCAATTTTTCATATATTTCATATATTTATATATATGTATTTATGAAAAATATATAAAAAATGCATGTGGGTACTCAAATGAAAGCTCTTGATGATTGTTACATCGGGACGAGCTTATATCTTTCAAAACGTGAATTGTTAAGAAAGTACAGTGCAATTTAATGTAATTGAGAAATGACTTTGTATCTTGTGAACTATTGACATTTTTAAAGATATAAGCTTATCCCGATGTTACATTCATCGAGACCTTTCATTTGAGTACCCACATCAATTTTTTATATATTTATATATATATATATATATATGTATATATGAAAAATATATGAAAATGCATGTGGGTACTCAAACGAACGCTCTTGATGAGTGTAACATCGGGATGAGCTTATATCTTTAATAACGTCAATAGTTAAGAAAGTACAGTGCAATTTAACAAAAGTCTGCTAACTTCTATTTCATAATTAATCATTTAGCATAAATCAATACCTGTTTTAATGATTTAATGGGTTGCTTTGGTTTATCACCATTTGACATTGGACCATCACTAGCACCTCGCAAATCACTTTTGGGTCGTTTTAATATTTTAACTGTCGGTTTAGGAGATACATACTGTGATCTCACACCATCATCACCTAAAATTATCATTCTACCGTTTGTATTCACTCCAGCAACTCTAAATAAAAAAAAAAAAACAAAATTTATAAATAAATATATTTATTTAATCTATATAATTAATTTATTTAGTTAATAAAAATACTTACCTGGATTGTCGGTCTTCTAAACCTTCTAAAGAATTCAATTGTAAGGCATTGAGCTTTTTGTCGAGTGCCTAAAAAAAAAAAAAAATATTAATTATCCACAACATCCTTTATTACCAGGACTTTTAAAAAAATCTAACCAACAAATTTTACTACATCAGTAATAAATATAAAAAAAATATATTTACAATTTTTAAATATTATTTTCCACAAAACTTTAATTTAATTAAATGGCGATTTATTTTTTAGGTTAGATTAATAATTTAATAACAATAAAATAAATTAATATTAAAATTTTAACTTACTCCAGATGCCTCCATTTCCTCCCAACTCTCATAAACTTCATCAGCGGTCGACATTGTGCGTTCAGCAACCGTATAAGTCAGTCTTAAATTGATAAATGTTTTTTTTTTCTCAACAAATACACCCTTAATTACTATTATGTATTTTTGATTACTTAAATAATATGTAACCTGATCGTTTGTTGCCTCTCTTACCCTCTAGTCACTTTGGGCTCGAGGCAGATCAGGACGTGCTGAAAAAAAAAAATAAATAAAAAAAGAGAGGAAAATCTCCTCTTTACGCTTTACGCAAGCTGACTCTCTTGTTCTTTCTCTCTTCCGTGGCCTGGATTGTATGTATGTATATTTTCAAGTGTATGTATCACTTCAGTTGCATATTTTACTTTACACCACCCACACACACGCTCTAAAATAATACACGAGCGCATGCGTCAATTTTAAAATAATTCACCTCAAATTTTCTAACATTCACTTTAAAAAAATTGTTATATTATTTATTAATAATTGTTTAACTTCAGTTTTGTTTATTAAATATCACGATTAATTATTAAAAGTATTTTTTTAATTTAGAAAATTATTTTAAACTAATAAAACATGTTAATCCAGATGACAAAGCGGATAAAGTAAAGGTGGCCACCTAGTGGCAAATTTCAGAACTAATTTTAGCACGAAATTTGAACGCGTTTTCTTTTCAAGGAAAATTAGTTATTTTTTTGACCGTCAGGTCGCGGTCACTTCTTGTAAAATAAAGTCATAAAGTCAAGTGCATAGTAAGTAGTGGAACGTCTTTTTTTTATTATGTTTTATGGAAAAAGGGAAGTTTGAAATGAATATTAAAGTAGCAGATATTTGATAAATTTAAAAATTTTTTGGTGAAATAAATTAGTGCAAAAAAAATTATGACACTGAAGTTGACAGACACGAGAAATTTTTTCAGAACTTTATAACAATTAAATTATTATAAAAAAAATTTAATTAAAAAATTCCACATGTAAAAATTATTAAAAATTACAAGTGAAAATTTTTAGAATAATTTTTTTATTGTTGTTGATTTGTTAAAAAAAATTTTTTAAATTAACAGCTGACGGCTAACTTCAGTATTATAAAAAATTAGAAAAAAAAATTGACATCTAGAAATTTTAAAATACTAAAAATGCAATTTTTTTAAATTAATTTTTTGGAAGAATTTTTTTTTGTTAAAAAAAATTAGAAAATTGTAAAGTGACTGCTAACTTTAATGTCGTAAGTTTGAATCAAGATTTAATAATAAACAAGAATTTGAAATGAATAGTTTAGAAATTAATTTAAAATAAAAGTATTTATTACTATTATAATATTAAAATCAGCTGACATTTTTATGACATTAAATTTAGCTGTCCCTTTACAATTTTTTTAATTTTCTTTAATAAATTAATTATGGCAAAAAAAAAATTATTAAAAAAATGGACCAGTAGAAATTTAATAAAATTAAAAATGCAATTTTTTAAAAATAATTATTTAGAACAAATTTTTTTGATAAAGAAAATTAAAAAATTGTCAGGTGACAGTTATATTTAACTTCATGGCATTTTTTATTGAAAGAATTAAAAAAAAATGTTTTTATTTAAAAAAAAAAACTTAAAAAACTATAATTGTAATTTTTAAATAATATTTTTTAGTTCTAATTTAATAAATAATAAATAATAAAAAAATTAAAAATGTCAGATAATTTTAGTATTATCTTTAAAGATTAATCAATTAAATAAACAGAATAAATTTTAGAAATTTTTTAAATAAAAAATCTAATTTTTATTTTAATGACTTTTTAATAAATTAAAAAAAAACTAGATTGATTTAATTTCTTTTGATTTATTCTTAATAACTAGACAATATAAATTTCTGTCTTGAAATCAGAAACACTCTATAAATAATAAAGAGACTTATAAATTTTGGTAGATATTTAATGAGTAAAATAAATATAAATTCATCAGTAATTTAATTATAAATAGATTAAAATTTCAAGTGATTGAAATCTATTAAATTATAAAAATTTTTTATCATATTAAAGGCAGGATATTCCATTAATATTATAGTAAAAATCGAAATGACGAGACAATGCAATGTTTAAGTTACTTACAATTTATTGAGTTGAAAAGTTGAATGAACTTTCGTGTCTGACGATAATATTATATAGCTCATAAAATCAATCAAAGTGAAGAAATGTCTGAATTTATTTTTTTATTACAAAAAAAAAAATATTCAGCTATTTTTTAATTGAAACTTTGACAAGTTTATATAATTAAATTGATTAATTAAAATATTTTTTGACTAGAATCAATATTTTCGATTAAATCAAAATAAATAAGATAGATAAGATTAAAAATGAAAAAATAATTAAAGTTTGATAAAATAAATAATAATAAATAATTAAAGGTTGATAAAATAAATAAAATAAATAATCGAATAGTTATTTGAAAAATATTTAATAATAAACATTGATAATATACAGGGAAAATACATCATCAGAAGTTACTATGAGAGTAAAGAACCTAATTGCTGGTCCAGACTTACAAAATTCATCAAATCAAACAATGAACCACTAAATAAAATCGGTGTATATTTTTTGAATAATTTTTTTTAAATAGAATCCAGCTTACATATTTTTCTTACTTTATTTATTTATTATTATACTTGATTTGCATTTTTTCATTCACCTTTTACTAATTCATTATCCATCATGTAAAAATTTTAAATTTAATAAAATTCCTGCAAGAAGCAAAATAAATTTAGCTGGATTTAAAAAATAAAATTTACTTGAAAAAAATAAATTTTAATTACTAAGCAGGTATGACAATTAATTAAAAATGAAAATGAAAGTTTAATAGATTATTTATATTAATATTTTTTTCTTTATTTCAGAAAATCTATTTATTATTTTTTTTTTTTTTACATACACCCGCAGCTTTATAAAGTATACATAAACATACTAGTGTCATGGAATTCCTCTCTTTTTCCACTCTCATACTTTTTTTGTGCTTCAAAAAATGTTTTATCCTAAAAAAAGTATAAATAAAAAGTGATGCCAATTTAGTGTACTTTTTCAGATAAAATTACAAAGATAAAAATATTTTTCAAAAATTACTGGCAAACATTAGTATGTACTTTTATATACATTTAATTAAAACAAAAATTAATAGTAATAATAAAAATAAAAACTAAATCTTAATAATTATTGATGGCAATAATGAATTTCAGATCTTATCAACTTAACTAATTTTATTAATAGTTAAATAATTATAGCTAGTGAGTAAATAAAACTCTTGTAAAAAGTTGCCAGTAAATTTTGAGTTTTAAAAAATAATTACAATGATACGTTGTGTGAATTAATTTAAATGGGCAGTACCCTGACTCGTACATTAGGATATGTTGGTAAAAGATGTGTAATTACGTAGTCATGTTATTTATTGTTAAACTTTCCTACTCATTTTTTAAAATTTATATTTATTATTAATCATTAAAAGTTGACAGTAGTTAAATATTTTAGTTTTTTATCGGTGCGTATTATTGAGATTATTCACTGCATAAAACGAGTCTTTATCGACTGGCTCGTCATAAATCAACTTTGAAAAAAATTATTTAATTAAAAAAATTATGGTTAATATTTACAAGTGGGGTCAAGCATTTTTATTTTCATTTTTTTTAAGGAAATTTATATTTTATTTTTCGATATATTTTTTTTAATGCATGAAAAAATGAACAATTAAAAAAAAATAATTATCACAGTTATAAAAAATTTTAACAAATTAAAAAAAAATTTATAAATTTTTTAGAAAATGTAATATTTAATTTTTTTTCAACTGTTCATTTTTTTTATTTACTTTTCAAAAAAAAAAAAACCAAAAAAAGATAAAATAGAAATTTTATCCAAAAATATGAAAAAAATGAATTAAAAAAAAAATCAATTATCACAATTTTAATGAATTTTGAAATTTTCAAATAAATTTATAAATTTAAAAAAAAAAATTGTGATATTCAATTTTTAACTGTTCATTTTTTGTGTACTTTTCAAAAAAAATGTATATAAAAAAAGATAAAATATAAATTTTACCCAAAAACATGACAGCCAAAATTTCTTCCAACTTTGAAAGGCAAAAATTGACCGCACTTGTAAATAATTACCAAAATAATTTAATAGGCCTGTTATTTACTTGAACAATTAATTATAAATAATAGCAATAAAAATAATAATATCATTAAACATTTAAACATATTAAGGAGAGCAATAAGCTTATAATCTCCAAATAAAGTTGAGCTTGACACTTAACTCTAATTGTTAGGTGATTTTTTTTATAATATCCTATTGATAGAGGTAATCAGTATAAATTGTAATTACAATACAATATACATAATTTTAAAAATGTTATTAATTTTACAGTTTTTATTATTTAAATTTTGTTTTTAAATTTAATTAAGCGTTTTATTTATTTTGAATCTATTTATTGATTATTATTTTTACATTTGTGTTAACATAAAAATAATAAATAAGATTTTGACGAACGTCGATAAAGATTAGAGAGCTCAACAGAATACTTAAACAATTAATTATGTTTTTATTATAAATACACGCATCATTTGACAATTTTTATTTCTCTAAGTTGTTTTTTATCAATTTTTAAATCTACCATTTATTTTAATTATTTTTTTATTAATAAACTTATTTTATTTATAATTTAAATTACTATTTAAAATGAGTATGATTCAATAACTCTCTAATTATTCATTACAATATTTTCAATCAGTGATTTGTGCTTGACACTATTTGCCTCAATATTTACAAAATTGGCAATTTTATTTCCACCAAAAATTATTCTTTTAAATCTCATTACGCTCCACAGTTTTATTTAATTAATGGAAAGTTAATTAAATTTAATATATAATTTGTATTTGTATGAATTATTTTTTTTTTTATTCGAAATTACTTTATCCATTGTGTAATTAATTAATTAATTTCTATAATTAATTCTAGCCTAGCGATTATATTTAATTGTAACGATTTCTAACATCTTTGTCATATTTGGCTATTTCACACGACTTTATTTACTCATGTTGTATTTATTTAT